TTCAGTTCGTCTTTCAGAGATCCTGCCTGCCTGTCTAGCAGATGCCAGCCACTGTTGAGCAAACTTTCCTCCACCCCTCCTGCTTTTAGATCTTTTTAAAAAGCATCCCCCATGAAGGATTGGGCAGACTGTCTGCAGTGACATGGGATGCCTGTGGCAGTGAGTCTCTTGATTCTTGGAATGGGTACCCACTCTTACAAGTTGTTTTTAATGTCCCAGGGATTCTTTCTTAAATTAGAGAGCATGGCCATGAGCTCTAGTCATTGCTAAATTGAGCCCATGACGGTTTCTTTGTATGATGCTGTAATCCTCAGGGCTAATTTTTAACATTAGACCTACGAAGGAGCAAGGCAGAATGGAAAGAATTTATGTTTCAAATTCAGTTGTAGTTTAAATACAACTATGTTTGGGACCTTTGATTTGCTGGGTTTATGGTTATTTAGCTGTTATGAGTCTTAACTTCTTTAGCTGTGTGGTTGGAAGGCCAGAGCCATGTGAGAAGAACTCACATGAGCAATGTTATTTAGTACGCTGTGATACTTGTGGTTCAAATGTGAATACTACTTTTGCTTCTTGAATATTAAATTTCTATCCTTTGGATTTTGTATTTTTAGAACTAATATACCATTATGCATTTGTTTATTATTTTTGACATCAATGTATATTTAGGATAATTTGAATATAGAAATACTTTAAAGGTTTACTTCAAAAAATTCTTTTGGGAGGGTGGGGGATTGAACCTATGAGCACATATACTAAGTGAGTATTCTCCCTCAACTATTTCCAGTCCTCTGCCCAGCAGGTCTTGGCCTTACAGGCTTCCTGCCTCTCCAGAGCTGCAACTCTGCCACTAGATGCAGTGCCAATCACAGAGCTTGAAATCACTAGCTAGAAAATTCTGAGACCTAGATTATGTATTTGTCAGAAGTGTGGAAAACAGGGCCAGTGAGATAGCTCAGTAGGTAAATGGGATTACCATGGAGCCTGAGAACCTAGTTCAACCCCTAGAACCCATGCGGGTTGAGGGAGAGAGCTGACTCCCATAGGTTGCTCTTCGTAAATATTAAATGAAAGATCAAGAAAGGAGAAGGAGCTGGAGAGCTGTTTTAGCATTTAGGAGCACTTTACTGATCCATAGGATCCAGGTTCAGTTCCCAGTACCACATGGTGGTTCAGAACTATTTGTAATTTCAATTCTAGGGAAACCAGTGTCCTCTCTGGTCTCTGTAGGCACCAGGCTTTGATGGAGGAGGGTCATCTTTCTATCTGTTGTTTCATTGGTTAAGTAATAAACTGCTTGGCCTCTCATAGGACAGAAAATTAGGTAGGCGGAGTAAACAGAACAGAATGCTGGGAGAAAGAAGCTGAGTCAGGGAGTCGCCATGATTCTCCCACCCGACACAGCCGCAGGTTAAGATCTTCCCTGGTAAGCCACCTTGTGGGCTACACAGATTATTAGAAATGGGTTAGATCAATATGTAAGAGCTAGCCAATAAGAGGCTGGAACTAATGGGCCAGGCAGTGTTCAAAAGAATACAGTTTCCGTGTAATTATTTTGGGTAAAGCTAGCCTGGTGGCAGGACGCAGCCCACCGCTCTTACTACAAGGCTTGTAGTACACTTACACACATGTACTCAAAACAATCATACATACAAAAGTAGGGAAACCAGAACTTAAAATGGAGTTGCTCTCGCTTTCTCTCTCTCTCTCTCCCTCCCTCCCTCCCTCCCTCCCTCCCTCCCTCCCTCCCTCCCTCTCTCTCTGTGTCTGTCTCTCTCTCTCTCCCTCTCTCTCTCAGACTGTTTCTGGTACGCTTGCTGTATATACCAGGCCAGCCCCAAATTTGTGGTCTTCCTGCTTCAGTCCCTCCAGTGTGGGAATTGCAGGTGTATTCTACCATGTTCAATTTTGAGTTTTAAGTATATGTGACATTTTTAATCTTCCTGTTTGTGATAGTGCTCCTGTCACCCCTCCCTAGGAAAAAGGTTTGTTTTGTTTCATTTCTGAGGTTTCTTCCAAGACCATTTTGTTTCATTGCTTCAGGGCTGAGAGGAGGCAGAGCCCTGAAAGGACTAGTGAACAGAGCTGGTCACCTAGGCTCCTGGGGAGCAGGCAAGAGTCTATGATAGGATTTTTATTTGTCCTGGGCCAAAGTATTTGGGTAACTTCAACTTTGCTCTTAACAAACACTATTTCAAGATTTAAAGCAAGCCTCTGAGTGTTGGCTTTATCTAAGTCATCTATTAGGTGTGATTGGTCCTTCGTTGTTAATGTTTTTCAACAAAGCCTGGTATAATACTTAATTTTAGCTTTAAAGCAAAGGAACTAAATGTTTTAAAATAATTGGAAGTTTCCAAGTGCCTTTGACTGAACTAGTTACAGAGTTTGTGGCAGTGCTCTGTGGCACTAACACCATACAACAGGGGACAGTGGCTTCTCTTTGACACCAAGAGCAGAGGCACAGGAGGTTAGTGCAAGCGCCAGGGTTAGAAAACCTTTCGGAATCAGCCAATATTTGCCTGCAGAGCTGTGCAGATACTGTAGATGAAAGTGCTCCAGTGAGTGAATCCCTGGGCGTGGGTGTCCTGGGGACAGACTCAGCCAGTACATGAGCCTCTAATGTGTCTTCATTTTCTAACACTTGAAACATGGCCACTGTCTTCATAGTGATTTGTATTATTGCTGTTTGTGTTCCTTCTTTCCCCCCCTCCCCTGCCCAGTGTTCTTGAGTATAGAACAGTATTCTTAGCTTTAGTGATGAGAGTTCTATGTATCTTTTCCAATTTTAACTATTCTGTTTTTATTTTGTCTCCCTTGAGATTTATTTAGAAATTAATTTTAGGCTTTCTGATTAAAGCACAGAGACATTACTTTTACTAGAAGAAACAAAGGGACTTGTATAGAAAAGTAGACAAGGCATAGGCCCAGCAGTGAGAAGATGGAGCAGCTGTGGTGATAGAGCTCTGAGAGCTCGCACAGTGTCCTCGTTGTGTCAAGGGTTGCTTGCCTGCCTAGCCTTGGATACACAGGCCCTTATATAAATGTAGTATTTGCATATACCTAAGATGGGCTTTGTCCTAATAGCTTAGCTTATTCTCAGATTCTATCTGATGCAGTTTAGATGCTGTGTAAATAATGCTGATACCATGTTGCTTAAGGAAACATATTTCAGTTATGGTGTCACATATCTGTATTCCCAGTTCTTAGGAGGCAGGTGGGTCTTTGTGTGTTGGAGGCTAGCCCGGTCTACATAGTGAGTTCAAGGCCAGTCAGGGCTATATAGTGAGACTCTGTCTCAAACACACATGCACATGCACACATACATATACAGTGTTAGAAAAAAAACTCTTAAAAATTAGCTGTCCATATGTCAGCCATAGACTAACAGGTAGGATTCTGAGCTTCAGACAATAGTGGCTTGGTTATGGCCTTTGTAATTTTTCTTTTGAAGTTAAAACTGTTTTTGGGTAAAGAAATGTGCTTATTTCCCCAGCCCTGGAATGTGCCAGTCAGCTGCATAAGCACCTGAGTTAGTCCCAGTTGCGGTGCAGAGATGCTACTTTTCTGCCCTGGGTGCTTCTGTTTTGAAAAAGAATTGTCCATCAAAATGATTGACTTTGTGGGGGAGGAAATGAACTATGGTAAGGCTGGGGGCACACAACTGTGTGGTACAGGGCCATGGTGGATCTGTTTTGTCCTGTTCATCAGACTTACCCGGCAGGATCTGAAAGCAGGGCTGTTTGGAGTGCGGAGCAGCACAGCCTCTGCTGGCTAACGGTTTAAAGTCCCCAAGTTTTAAATGTGTTTAAAAAACAAAAGCCTGCTAAGGAGGCAAGGCTCTCTGCTGCATGTCAAGTGACCTGCCTTAGCTGCTGGTGAGTGCATTGGTTTTGTTAGCAGCTGCTTCTCTGAGGAGCCTCTCTATGGACTGTGCTGCCCCAAAACTCTCACCTCCTGAACTAGCTACCCAGGTGGGGGAGCAGGAAATTTCTTGGCAGGAAAAAAATGTCTTCTTCCAGGCAGAACAGGCAGAGAGACCCTTATTCCCAGTCCTTGGGACCAGATGTTTCAGATTGTAGACCTTCAGATTTGGGGCCGTTAGCATATACTTCAGTGGCTTGCCGTCCTTAATGTGAAGACATGAAGTCTTGAACGCCTCCAAGTGTGAATTTAGAAAGATTTTCAACACCAAATTTTTGTTTTAGGAGTGGTCAACTTGTACTTTTTTTTTTTTTTTTTTTTTTTTTTGGTCCTGGAACATTGACCAGGCTGACCTCAAACTAAAGAGGTCTGTGTGTCTCTGTCTCTTGAGTGCTGGGATTAAAGGCGTGCACCACCATGCCTGGCCACTTATTTTTAAATCTTACTTGTTTTATTTACTTACATTAAAAAATTTAAATTTTTAAAAATGTGTATGAGAGTCTTGCCTGTATGTATGTATGTTCACCGGGTGTGTGCCTGTGCACATAAAGAAGAGGGCACTGGTTTTCCTGGGATTGGAGTTGTAGGCCATCATGTGGGGCTAGGAATCCAACCTAGGCTCTTTCCAAGAACAGCCAGTTCTTTTAACTGCTGAGTAATCTCTCTAGCCCCTTATTTGGTTTTAAAATAAGTATAGTTCATGAATTGAATAGGGAGTAATAACTGAAAGTGGTTTTTAAAAATATGGGTACTTTATAGTAAATGGTTAGGCAGATGAAGATTGTTTCAACAACGCATGATTGCGAGCTTGTTTTATTTTGATATTTAAGATGATTAGCTATGTAAAAGTCTTGATAGAAATTATTTCCACATCCTTGTTCCCAAACCCAGAAAGGCTGATGTGTACTCTTCATTGGAAGAAATTATGGTGTGAAGTTGAATATAAGTGCCCATGGTGTGAAGTTGAGTATAAATGCTTATTTTTATCAGCTTTCCTTTTCTGTGGGAACTTGTTCTTAATGGTTTATATAAGTAAAAAGAAAAATCAAAACTATTGCAAATTTCTTGTCGTTTACCAGGCTGAACTCACAGGAATCAAATGGCGTAGGTACAATTTTGGAGGACACGGGGACTGTGGACCCATAATTTCAGCCCCAGCCCAAGATGATCCAATCCTGTTAAGTTTCATCCGCTGTCTGCAAGCCAACCTGCTGTGTGTATGGCGTCGTGATGTCAAGCCAGATTGCAAAGAGCTATGGATATTCTGGTGGGGAGATGAACCCAACCTAGTGGGAGTAATACATCATGAACTGCAGGGTAAGGATTTTGTTTTTCCTTAAAAATTATTTGCTCATATGTTTTTGAACAATGATAAATTTTGGAAAGGTTAAGAGTTGCTTAAAACAAAGATCCTAAGTATTCAGTAAGCTGTACGTTAGCCAAGGGTCCTCACTTTTCAATCTGATTTCCCTTCCCCAAAAGTTTCTGTCCTTACCAGTCATGCTGAAAATTAGAATCTTGTAAGATCACCTTAAAATTATTTTATTATCAGTTAAAGACAGGGAGTCACCATGTAACCTTAAATTTGGAGTACTCCTTCTGGTTCAGCCTCGTGCATGCTGAGATACAGGTGTTTATCACCTTGTCCTTCCGCCTCTGAAATCGTCGCTGTTAAAGGAAAGTGTTGTGTACACAGCGTGCTGTGTTTGGAGACAAGGCTATGGGCCATTTATCTAAATTAATGGTGAATTGTGAGTAATTACCTAGTAAGACAGCTATATGAACAGAACTTTTCCTCCCTTGGACTTTTTGCTAGCTGAACTCTTCATTGGAAAATTGAAAATACAGACATTTAATGCGGCCTTCATTGGACAAATTTCTGATTGACCTCAAATAGTGTTTTGGAGAAAGATAACCCTCTATAAAGTGCCGCAGATGGTTTCCTTTAAGTCACTCTTCACTGATTCCAGAAATACTAATTTTTAACTTACAAATTTTTGACTTGAGTTTGCCTATGACACCTGGAAACTTTGAATTAATGCAAGATTTGTTAGTCTAAACTACTTTTTATATTTACTATATGTTTACAGTGGCAGAAAATGTTGTCTGTAGTTTTTGAGTTCTGGCAGACATTTTCACTCCTCTATCCAAAAGTTTCTAGTTTGTATCCTACAGAATTTCCTAAGTCAAGAAAAATTACAGCATTTATTTTGTTTTTGAACCAGGCCTTTCTGTATTGCTTGTGCTGCCCTTGGACTCCCCAGTGCTGTGTTGCAGGCTGCTCACCACGCCTGACTCGGCCCCATCTCAGTCAAGAGTGCTGGCCCTTCTGACCTGGGCTCCTGTAGGCTCTGTAACCTAACCGACTCTCTAGTTAATTTGTGGTTGAAAAATTGATGAGATGTTTTGTTAGTTTGTGTTCTTATTATTTATTACAGGAAGGCATAAAACAAACTTCAGTGTATTCTTGTGGATCTGTTTTAAAGGTCTAAATTTGCCTAAAGGATTTTCTGCCAAATTCTTTTGAAACTTGTTAGCAGTCTTTGTGTTTTGTTTTGTTTTTGGTGGCATATCCTGCCACAGCGGCTAGGGGGCAGTACAGCCCAGTGGACTAATTGAGCTAACTGCTGGGCTCTATGCATCCTCATATTCTGGTGTTTGTTCCATAAATGGGCATTCTCTCTGGGTGAGATTGCTTACTAGTGGGCTCATCAGCAGAGTTGCAGAGTTGATGTTCATCTCAAAACCTTGTGTACTTAGTAGATGGTAGAGGGAAAGTTAGATTTTATACCACCTATGTTTTGGTTTTTCAGAGTCTGTTTGTCTGAATATCAAAATGTTACATTATTTTAATTGTTTACATGTGGATGAATATAGTATTTTTTTAACTTTTCTTCTTTAGTTTTTAATTAAAACTATTTTAAACCAATGTTGATTGATTAAACTATTAATCTATCATGGGAGGGCATGTGCATGCACGGTGTCATAGTTGTAGAGGTGAGAGGACAATTTTTGAGAGTTCTCGCTTGTGCACATCCTCCCTCCCTCCCTCCCTCCCTCCCTCCCTCCCTCCACCATGTGTGTTCTAAGACTTAAGTAGCTTGGCTTATGGCAAGTAACTTTAACTGCTGAGCCATCTCCCAGCCCTTTTCTTTTATTTTTGGTGACCTCTTATTTCATTTTGTAACAGTTTGGAAGCTGAGCCTGCCCACTTAGGAAGTGGTTTGTTCCTGACTGCAGTGAGTGCTGTTGGGGGAGCTGACAGGTGGGCTGCTCACCGTCTCCTCACTGCTTTACAGCACGCATGACTCCATTGCTGTGCGACGTTTGTGGTAAAGAGTGAAGCAAAGATTGACTATTTTTAAATAGTTTTTAGTTTGTTTTAAACTGTAAAAACACTACTTTTACTTTTTCTTAAATCAAAGTCTCTCTTGTAGCTCTGGCTGCCTTGGAAGTAGCTGCGTAGACCAGGCTGCCCTCAGACTCAGAGATCTGCCTCTGTCTCCTGCGTGCTGGGGTTAAAGTGTGTCGCACCACTCCTGTGAAAGCCCTGCACTTTAATTAGATAGTAGGACAGCAGAATGAGCACCGGAAAGGACAAACAAAGCAGTTGGAGTAGTTGTTTGTGTGCGCATGAAGTAGCTGTGCCTTGGTCTTCACTTACTAACCATTGTGTTTCCCCAGGGGAGTAGGATCTTGTTTTTACACTCTTTCCTTTTGAGAACTGTGAAGTGTGTTTTCTTGCTGAGTAGCCGTGGCATCCTTGAGTGTCCCTTCCATTCAGTGTGCTGAATGTCGGGAAAGTTATTAGAGCCAATCACATAAATTGTCCACTTTTGTATGTAAAAGTGGACGAAAGAGTACTATTTTGTGGCTCACATATTGGGAAATATTTGAAATTTAATTAGAAAAGTGAGTGACATAATGGCAGTGATGGTGACATGGTCAGGAAGCCTGCGGTAGAGGGGAGCATTCCTATTGGTTGCTATAGAGTTGGGAGTATTGAACATGTCCTTTTCCAGTGTATTTAAGGTAATTTTATTTTGGGTAAAATAAACTTTAGCAGAATCCTGCTAGCAGCTGTGAATCTCTGGTACAAGGTTGTGCTATTGTAAATTAACAGGGATATTGAAGTATTGTCCTGCTTTTTGGTTATGTTTTGGAGTTTCCCTTGTTATGGTGTTACACTTCATAGCATACTGCTGGCAAGCACAGTAAATACCACAGCTGCCCGCCTTGGTGTACACGTGTATATATTAGTAAAGTAGCATCAAGAGAGAGGACTCCTCCAGGACTTGTGTTGAATTTACAACATTGTAGCCACAGGGACATCGTGTGGCCCTGGATTGCTGGGCTCCAGTACTGTGTAGTCACTTAACTCTGGGAGTCTTTGGTCAGTTTATTTAACTGGTCATTGTCTTAGTTCCCTTGCTGTAAATTGGATTATGAGGCTAAAGTTAATAAAGCCCTGAGCTAGCACACACAGCAGTTAATCTATAGCTGTAGCAGTTGGCTGTTTCTGCTGTGCTGACGACTCTGAGCTCATGGATAAGAATTACATTTTGGCATTTTCTAAACATTTGATTCTGTTCTGTGTAGCAGTTAGTGCTTGCTACTGCCAAATATTAAAGTTTGCTTTCAAGCTGAAAAATTACATTTTCTAGCTTTAATGTTGGGGTGGGCTAATAGGAAATAACAAAACATCTCAGTACAAAGATAACCTGCTCATTGGAAATGTACCGGATTTTCCATAAATTTTTTAATTTGTGTATGGGTGTGCATCAAAGCATGCATGCACCACTATGGACATGTTGTAGACGCCAGAGGATTCCTTTCGGAAGTTCTCTCCTTTCGTGATGGCTTCTGGGGCTTGGATACAGATCTTGCATGCATGGCTAGTGTTTTCACCTGCTCAGTCATCATGTTAGCTCCTTCTCATTTTATAGGAAACCCCAGTTGTGTGAAGAAGACAGTAGTTTGATTTATTGTACCTTCTAAGTAGATTTGTGACTGCTACCATATACCAAAGCAGGGTACTACTGAATGTGTAGTCTTCTTTTTTGGCTATATGAGTTCTTCTGTCAGTGAGTCCAGTCAGAGGAATTTATAGTTTAGAAGGTGTGTAAGAGAGACTCACACTCTAGTAAGAATATGCGAGAGCGGTAGACCAGGTTGGCCCTGACCTCACAGAGATACCAATTGCTAGGGTTAAAGATATCTGTTACCACACCTGGCTTAAAACATATTTTTATTGCTATCCTATTTTTCTATATTTTATTCTAAATTGGTTTGCCAAAGCTATAAAGTAGTAATAATTGTATAATGACTATCTATGTAAACATACAAACTCACTTAAGTATTTTACTTATAAGTAATACATCCTAACATACTTGACATTTATTAAGACTTTAATGAGTAACAAATTCTTATTGTGAAATTATGAAAAGATAGTGACTCAAATTCTTTCATATGAAGAATAAAAAAAGATTCAGTGAACTAGAATTATTAAGCTAAATGTGCTTGAAATTGAGAGACCAGCCAAAGTCTAAACTTTCTATTGTAAATAACATCAGCGTGTTACTGCAGGCAACTTATTGAACCGTGTAATTAGTTTTTTTTTTAAATGAGACATTCATACTAAGATCATAGTGAGATAGAATGTGAAGAAGGGAAGGCTCGTGTCCCACTGATATGAAAATTAAGCGGCTGGCAGTGTTATAAAGAGTATTGCTGTAGGGAAAAGTCAAAGTTTTGATTTGGGCATTAATTTTGGTATCATGCTCTAAGGGTTTTTTTTTTTTTTTGCACTGACATGAAAAACCTATTTATATACAGTGAACCCCAGTTAAAATCTTTTAAAAATTATTTCTATTATTTGTAACTTGTGTATGTGTGTTTGTATCTTTGTGTGGGCTTGCACACATGAGTACAGGCACCTGAAGAGGCATTGGCTCTCTTAGATGGAGGCCTAGGTGCTTGTGAGCTCCCTGATGTATCAGTGTGCTGGGAACCTTTGCAAGGCAGCAGGCACTCGGAGCTGCTGTGAAGTTCAAAGTTCATCTTAATGAACTTCACATTTAATCTCTAGAGCAGATTAGATGTCAGTTGGCAGTAGGTACCCTGTATTTCATGTGTGAGTGTTATGATTTTGGTGAGGACTTTGCTGTGGGCGCAGTCTTTGCCTGGCAGGTTTGACTGTTACCTGTTGTACCCTCTCCCCTGCCCACTGGTTTCTACCTTTTCTTTCAGAACCTTGTCTACCCATAGCAAACTTTAAGACTTAGTTGGCTTTGTTGTGCATTAAAAGGATATAAGAA